CACTCAAGTAACTCTTAACACTCAATTTTGAAAATAATACTCAAAGGTTTAAATCATTTATTAGTTGAAACATTGAGTGTCAATTCAAGCATTGAGAGTAAACTTTTAAATGTTTATAGCGTATACACTCAAACTTAAATGTGAATACTCAGTTATTGGGTTACACTTTCAATCTTTTAATCTATACACTCAATTTTAAATATAAACATTCGATGTTTGAATATACTCCATATTCAATATTTCAGCGTTAATATATATTCAATCAAAAAGATTAACACTTAAGTAACTCTTAACATTCAATTTTGAAAATAATACTCAAAAGTTTAAATCATTTATTAGCTGAAACATTGAGTGTCAATTCAAGCATTGAGAGTAAACTTTTAAATGTTTATAACGTATACCCTCAAACTTAAATGTGAATACTCAGTTATTGGGTTAACTTTCAATCTTTTAATGTATATACTTAATTTTAAATATAAATTTAAATATAAACATTCGATGTTTGAATATACTGTGTATTAATTTAATGTTTCAGTATAAATACTCAAACATTAAAAAAAAACTTAACCTGCAGTATAAAGATTCAATTTAAGAGCATACATAAATTTGAGAGTAAAATTGGGCGTTAGCATTCAATTTTGAGAGTATTTTTCATAAAGAATTTATCAAAATATTTTAATAAAGACATGATTGACATAATCTTTTCGCAAATTACAAATCTTGTTAATAAATAATCTATAATATTATTAGATATACAACTTTGCTTCCGCCGTTTTCCTATAGATGGCGGTAAGTGGTGGTCGAAATAAATAAATCATAGATGTCATACAATAAACTTGGGCATCTGTCAACATAATCCCATAGAAACATTAGTCGATTTGTGTCTGCATCATAAAGTTATTCTCGATTGCAAATGTTAGTTTACGAGCCAAATTCTCGTCATTTGCGGGAGGTTTTAATTTTTTCAATATGAAGAAATCTGCGGCTGAGGCTTATCGAATGCTCTCAAATACTTATGGTGAGGCCGCTATTAGTGAAAGAATGTGTCGCGAGTGGTTTTAACGCTTCAAGAACGGTGATTTTGACGTCGAAGACCGGCATAGCGGTGGAAGAGAGAAGATTTTTGAAGATGCAGAATTGGAGGTATTACTTGAGCAAGACTCGTGTCAAAATCAAGAAGAATTGGCACGATCATTGGGAGTGACTCAACAAGCCATTTCAAAACATCTCAAAGCCATGGGAATGATTCAGAAGCAAGGAAATTGGGTGCATACGAATTGAAGCCGAGAGATGTTGAACGGCGTTTGTTTGCTTGTGAACAGCTGCTTGAAAGGCAAAGACGGAAGGGATTTCTGCATCGCATTGTGACTGACGACGAAAAATGGGTTCATTACGATAATCCCAAGCGCAGAAAATCATGGGGAGTTCCCGGCCATGCTTCCACGTCGACGGCCAAACCAAATATTCACGGCTCCAAGATCATGCTCTGTATTTGGTAGGACCAGCTCGGCGTAGTATATTATGAACTGTTAAAACCGACTGAAACAATCACAGGCGATCGATATCGAACGCAATTGATGCGTTTGAGCCGAGCATTGAAAGACAAACGGCCGCAATACAACGAGAGACACGATAAAGTGATTTTGCAGCATGACAATGCTCGACCCCATGTTGCGAAAGTGGTCAAGACATACTTGGAAACGTTGAAATGGGGAGTCCTACCCGCCGTATTCTCCCCCTCTGACTATCACTTGTTTCGATCAATGGCACACGGCCTGGCTGATCAGCACTTTCGGTCTTATGAAGAAGTAAAAAATTGGATCGATTCGTGGATAGCCTCAAAAGATGATCAGTTTTTTCGTTACCCGAAATATGAGAGAAAGTAGTGGCTAGCGATGGACAATACTTGAATCATAAATATATAACCAGTTTTTTACAATTAAGCCTCGAATTTCGGAAAAAAACGGCGGAAGCAAAGTTGTACACCTAATAAATAAAGTGTATGTATCTCAAATAGCATGCATGTATTCCCAAAACACACACATTATTCTAGAGATCTTCCTGAGAACGTCCTTTCAGGACGTTTTCATAATATTTTTGAAAAAGACGTCCTTTGAACATCCTGTTATATGGAAATTTAATAAGTTTTTACTTAAGACTCCTGAGTAGTGAGAGTCGCGGCGGCCATGTTATTGGAATCATAACAGTCACAGGCAAAAAATGGGTATAAAGAGAGTGACGCCAATTAGTCGGAAGTCGCTATTTGGTGTCCTACATCCGGGGAATTTATGACGCAATTCCTCATCTTAACTCCTTCTTTCTTTAACGTTGTCTTCTTTCTAATTAACAGCAAAGCGGAACCAATCAGCATTAGACACATGCATTGACTCTCTTTATAGCCACTCTAGAGAAATGACGTTGATTTATGTTGCCATTTGTAAATAAAGATATATAATTTGGACAAATCTAAATGATGAGATTGCTTTAAAAATGGGCAAAAACTGTCCTTTCTTCCCATGACCAGTCATAAATGATCGTAAAAGGTACATAAAGTGAGTTATATTCGAACAGAAACCCACAGTTTAACAGCTGTTGAAACGAGTGAAATATATGCTTTTACGTATAAAATTCTAAGATAAGATAGTTTCTGCCCATTTTTAAAACTTTCATAAGTAGAGACAAATCACATTTTCACAATTAAGCAAATAATAACGAAATAGCAAAAACTTCATCGTCAAAACGTCACTTTTCCACGCCTATATAAGTTCAGGCATTTATCATGGCGAGGCGCTGTAACCATCGACATATACCCTGCATTCATTTACGTAGCGGTTAACGTATAGATTTCTTTATCCTTGTTGTTTACCGAGTTAAACAAGAAATTAAATGATATTCTCTATGCTAATCACTGCGTAAACGAATGCACCCATAGAATGGACCGATGACGGTGGTGGGTACAGAAACACGAGTAGAATGAGAGGCAAATAAATGGATACAGAGAGAATCAAGGGAGATTAGAACGGACTTATCCAGAAATCGTCATTTATAGTGCACCGTTAAAAAGTGAGTAGGAATATGATAAGAGCGTGATGGAACATACGGTGCTGCACACAGTATTGTACTGCACTAATATTGTGTGTATGACATATATGTACACGCACGCACGCACGCACGCACGCACGCACGCACGCACGCACGCACGCACGCACGCACGCACGCACGCACGCACGCACGCACGCACGCACGCACATTTGCGGAAATGCATTATAAATGGCGAAACCAATTAAAAAAAGAGAATTCTCTGCTCCATTCTCTCTTAATTCTCTCTGAATGGATGACGTTCTTTCTATTTACTAATGAGTTGAAGCAGTACTGCTGGATCAACAACTAATCAGGCTTAGTAAACAGAGAAAGAACGTTCATCCATTTATCTGCCTCTTATTCTACTCATATTTCTACCCCCACTATCCTCATAGTCCATTCTATATGTCGATGGCTGTAATACACACAAAGCCCATGTACATATGCTCACTTTCGATGCACCGAGAGTATATGTATAGACGGTCACAGAAAGGTTGCAATACTTTTTTTTCAATAGATTTCGAAATACACTCTACTCACCAAGCGATTGGTTCTTATTTGTTGATCTATGAATAAGAATCAATCGTTCGGTGAGCAAACTGTATTCCGAAATTCATAAAAAATAAAGTGTTGCAACTTTTCTGTAACCGGTTGTATATGGGCTGTACTTGTGTATATGGCTACCAGTTTCGCCAGGCCGCCGTCTGATTCTATGTCGCCATCGTCAATGCAGAGTTCTTGGCTGAATACTCAGGAGTCTTATGCCCATTTCCACCAACGTAGATTAATTTTAATTTCAGTTCAACTAATTCTTCGTCTTTTTCTTCTTTAGAAAAAGATAAAGAGTAAATTGGACCGAGATTAAATTAGTTTATTAATCTTTTGATAGAAACGGGCATTAAGGGGGTATTTTAGTCACGGGACAAATCGTTTTTTTACAAGTATTTAGCATAGAAAATATGTCTATAAGAAGAATTAACCCGATTTGCAAAATTATTAGGTGTACAACTTTGCTTCCGCCGTTTTTTTCCGAAATTCGAGGCTTTATTGTAAAAAACTGGTTATACATTTATGATTCAAAGTATTGTCCATCGCTGGCCATTACTTTCTCCCATCTTTCGGGTAGCGTACGAATCCCGCGTCGAAAAAACTGGTCATCTTTTGAGGTTATCCACGAATCGATCCAATTTTTTACTTCTTCATAAGAAGTGCTGGTCAGCCAGGTCGTGTGCCATTGATCGAAACAAGTGATAGTCAGAGGGAGCAACGGCGGGGAATACGGCGGGTGGGGTAGGACTTCCCATTTCAACGTTTCCAAGTATGTCTTGATCACTTTCGCAACATGGGGTCGAGCATTGTCATGCTGCAAAATCACTTTATCGTGTCTCTCGTTGTATTGCGGCCGTTTGTCTTTCAATGCTCGGCTCAAACATCAATTGCGTTCGATACCGATCAATACCGATCGCCTGTGATTGTTTCAGTCGGTTTTAACATTTCATAATACACTACGCCGAGCGTACGTCCCACCAAATATAGAGCATGACCTTGGACGTCAAAATCACCGTTCTTGAAGCGTTGAAACCACTCACGACACGTTCTTTCACTAATAGCGGCCTCACCATAAGTATTTGAGAGCATTCGATGAGCCTCAGCCGCAGATTTCTTCATATTGAAGCAAAAAATTAAAACCTCCTGCAAATGACGAGAATTTGGCTCGTAAACTGACATCTTCAATCGAGAATAACTTTATGATGCAGACACAAATCGACTAATGTTTCTATGGCGTTATGTTGACAGATGCCCAAATTTATTGTATGACGTCTATGATCTATTTATTTCGACCATCACTTATCGCTAAAGCCATCTATACGAAAACGGCGGAAGCAAAGTTGTAGCACCTGATAACAAAGTTATAGCACCTGATAGGGAGCGGTCTTCGACTCGTTTTTTAACCTCGTGGCGCACAATAAAGCATTGTTAATCGACATTTTTATTTCGGCTAAGAAAAACCGTTATTCTTAAAAGGCCTTGTATTTTTGGAATGGGGTCTTTCTAAAGGATCTGATGACCAAGTTTGACTTTCCTGTAAAGGAAATTTTAACATTATTTTCTCGGTTTAATGTGGCTTTGAATGTTAAGGTGAGCGGACGCAAATTGTTTATTTACACGCACAATATTAAAAATGGACAAAAAAGGTAAGAAATTTAATCGAGTTCGTATATATTGTATCAATTTTAAAAGTTATGAATGGGAATGACTCTCAGCAAGCGGAGATGTACGCAAACTCCCAGGACAAAACTCGGAGCAGCACTGAACTTCGCTAAAGAGAGAAAATCAAGTCGTAGGGAAGAGAGAGAACTTCTGCAGGATTTCTATGAGCAAGATGAAGATTTTCTCTATGGGCCCGGATTAGCTGATTGATCGTAAGTAAAATTATCAATACTCTATATATCAATACGAAAAACTTTAAACGTGTTTTTCAAATTGGCTCTCATGATATCTCGAAAACCAGTTGACCAATCGAATCGAGCATGTGCATACATCTTCAGCACATATGTGGCTATAGTCCCTACCACGATTAAGTTGAAATATATTTTTTGTAATTTTTACAACTATTTTGGTAAAAAAAATGGCAAAAATCGAAACTTAATTTTCGACATGACGTCATTTTTTAAATTTTCAGTTTTTTTTCGTTCTGGTACCTGCTATAGTCAAACTCATATTAATTAAGAATTTCTTTTTCTATCATTACAAGAAAAAATTCTAATATACTCAGACAACATTATGTCTAAAATGCGGACATAAGACGTCTTGAACTATCTTGAAAAGGTCTTATATCTGTATTTTGGACATAATCTGAGTAAAGAGGCCCTGTAGAAGACTTTAAGACCTCAGCACAATAATAGTCATAACCGAGTCATAAATCGTAGTCATATGTCAACGCACAATATTTTGGCGTATCTGTATGCCGTATCACATTACGCGTTGATCTCTTGTGATGATAACGTGTCTACATCAGTGGTCATCTTTTTTAAAATTACAAATCGTTAACGGCAAGTGACAAGTGAGTAAACATAATTACATCATATAACTTTTCAAGTATTTTAATACTTTAGATATAAATTGTCAATGCATATGTAACGAAATAATGTCTAACAAATTTCGAAATGATTAAAAAACATAATCTTATATCTGAAGTTCTTCGTATTGGGTTGTCCGGAAAGTTCGTGCCGATTTTGAAGAAAAATTGAAACGCAGATTTAAATTTTAGTATATATTTATTAAATTTAAATCTTTTGCGGCACGAACTTTCCGGACAATCCAATACATTAATCGAATCAGTATATATGCAAAAATTTTTATTCATTTGCAATAATAAGTTTGCAATAATAGTTGTAATAATACAGTTGTTAACAATTGTAACAATTGTACATTGTTAATAATTATATTATGACAACATTGCAAATGAATAAAAATTTGTTATTTCTTATTTCTGCCAGATTCTTTCGTTTTATACAAAATCGCATCAAATAAGCCTAATTTTATTGATTTTTGAGCTGCGAGGTGCTAAATTATATAATTAGGGGAGACTGCGAGGATAGTTGATACATGAGACAGGTCTGTTCCTTATTGCTGCACTTTCTGAACTAGTGCACACGTGATACAATAAATTGAAATGAAATAAACATATATTTGTGCAGCAATAAAAAACACTTTAATGTTGATATATTAGATATAAGAAAGTTTTATGATATATAAGAAAAAGAGAAAACTGTTTAGATATATTAT